CATAATATGTGCCAGAATTTTGATATTATTTAAATAGTCAGTCTCTATACTTAGTACTATACTGTAAAGTTCTATGAGTATCTAGAACCACATAGTATATAAAGCAGCATCCTCATTTTGGCAAAGCAAATATTCAGTTACTTTTATGTTTGTCATGGTTACCTAAAAAAGTATCACTGTAGCAATTGCTCAATAAGTATCTGAATGGATGAATGAATAAATGGATGGATGGATGCATAAATGGATAAGGCTAACATCCAAAGCTTCATGAATAAGTGATTTGGGGAGAAGACATTAATGATAAAATTTTTATAAATGATAAATACTAAAACAAAATGCCATATACAAAATAATATTAAACGCGAACTATAATTGAACAATTAAAAAGGTCCTAATGTAAAGCACCATTATAAAGCATGATACAGAATAATATTATTACATGTAGAAAATGTTAATAATACCTCACACAGTTATTTGTGTGTGACAATGACTAGACTGCTACAGCTATTTATTTCACTCAGAGTTAGCCTGTACCTGCATTATGGTAAAACTGCTGGTCCCTAAGATACCACAGTATCAGTGCTTTAAAATTAAATTTTACTGACTGAATGTTATAATTATTGCCAAGTTTTAGAAAATGTATGTTTCAGACAGACGGTTGTCAGAAGGGAGGGGAGCAGATAAATGGGGGAAAGAGGTGAAGGGACTAAGCAGCACAAACTGATGGGTACAAAATAGGCACAAAGATGTGGGTTACAGCACAGGACACAGACAACAGAGTCATGACGACTGTGTGGGGGGCTGGGTGGGTGCTGGAAGTATCGGGGTGTCACTCTGAAAAGTACAGGATTTTCTGGGTACTTTTTGTACATCTGAAACTTACACAGGATAATATTGAATGTAAACTGTAACTGAAAAAAATATGTTCTGCTGCCATTATAAAGAAAAGCAGACCAGGCTTTAGGTATGTATTAAGCACTCAACATGCAAGGTCCATTACAGAGCTGAAAAAGACCTTAGAAGTGGCATATGTGTATTTCCCAATGTCAGGAGTGTGTACAATAATCTGTACTAAATATTTGCACACACTGCTGTTGAATCAACATCTAAGGTCCTTTTTCAGGTTACATTATACTTCCAAGTATATTTATCTCTTAATAGTACAGCAAAGGGCTTTGGAGTTTTGAGAAGACAGAGGTTGGAGTGCACTTTCCAAACTGATCGCTTCTCTTTCCCCATTCAGTCTCTGGTTAACTGTGAAAGGGATCTGTTAGAACACAAGCGGTTAAAAAAATTCTTTGAATTTTTCTCTTTTTCAATATTTTCTATTTTTACTCTGTACATTTTTAAACTCTTGTGAATATTCTTAAACTGTTACTCTTTAGACATTTCAGCATGGCTTTGATGAAATGAAAAACAGAAGCAATTTTCTAGGTAATTCCACAAAAGACAAAACTATTATTTTGAGGGTACTTTACTGGGTCAGTTTTCTACTTAACATTTTCTAACAGTCAGAAAATATTTGTGATTATTTCCTTGAGTATTCTCAGGGAAACTACTTTATGGTTACTCTTTTAATTCACCCATAGAAAGTTTAATATAGTCATAGATCATCTAATGTATAAAGTCTCCACAAACACACAAAAAAGCCAAATGCATTTTTCTGCCTGCCTCTTCTTCTAAGTCAAGAAACAATTTATTGACTTCTGGTTAAGATGGTGGCACAGATAAACACGGCTAACCTCCTCGTACAACCACATCAAAATAACAACTAAAATAGAGAATGACCATCACTCAGAACTGTCAGAAATTGAGTTGAATGGAAGTCTGAAAACTACAAAATTAAAGAAACCACATCCATCCAGACTGGTAGGAAGGGCAGAGATGTGCAATGGGCTGGTCCCATATCCACATGTGGTGGATAAAAATTTGGGAGGGATATCTAGGGAGTGAGGAGTCCCAGCCCCACACATGGCACCTAGCCCAGGGTTCCAGTGCCAGGGAGATAATTCCCCATAACTTCTGGCTGCAAAAACTAGTGGAGATGAGTCAGTGGTGGAAAGTTCTGGAGTCCCGAGCAGTTCTTCTTAAGGTGCCTACACAGACTTACTTAGACCCACTCCCTCTGAGCTCTAGCACTAAGGTAGCAGCTGGAAAGGCAACAAAGGCTTACGGGGAGAAACTGAAGTGTCTGGCATCAAGGCAAAAGTAGGGGTACACCTTTCTCTTAGACAGAAAGATGGGCAGAGGCCATTGTCCCTTTTCTGAACCCTCCCCCTAACAGAGCCACAGAGCTACAGAGCTGGCATGCTGGTGCCATGTCTAAGACTCCATCAACCTGGCTAACACTGCCCCACCCTGGAGATCCTCAGAGGCTTTGTCCCACCCTACTTACGTCGGGCCCACCCAAGCTGCTTTTCTATCTGAATGGCTGGTCTTGGTTCATTTTTCACAACTTTCTAAATCCTCTCAAACAAGAGCCAGCCTCAGTGAGTCCCATGCTGCTGTACCTCTTGAAAAGTGGTTCCAGACCCAGCACTAGCAGCAGCCAGCCTAGATTCATAGTTTAGCTTCGCCTGGCAATCTTCAAACCCAGCACAAGTAGCAACCATCTCAGATTGCTTTATAGCTCAGGCAGGGTTGACCCAGGCAAAATACTGGTGGGGGCTGACCTTGGCCTGTACCACCCAGGGAATCCCAGGGCCAACATACCCAGTGGACAGCTACAGACCATGTTGGAGCACCACCATCCCACCCTTTGCACAGCTGGTCCTCCATGGAGGGAGGAGGTTGGTGGTCAGTGATCACAGCCAATCCTTGTAGCTGACTGGCCTTGATAAATCCCTTCCATTGATCTGCCAACAGCCACCAAGGCTCAAGTATAAGAGGAAGGGGTACTCAGCCCATAGAAAGGGTGCACCTCAAGTACCCAGCTTGGGTGGTAGAGGTGGATGAGCCTTTGAACCTATAGTTCACCTACTACATTAGGCCAGGATACCAAGACAGGGAGTCATAACAGCTCTATCTAAGATATAGGAACAAACACAGAGAAGCTGCTAAAAAAAAACAGACAAAGAAATATGGTCCAGATGAAAGGACAGTTCAAAACTCGAGAAAAAGAACTAAAAAAAAATGGAGCTAAGCCATCTATCACACACAGAGTTCAAAACACTGGTTACAAGGATGCTCAAGGAACTGAGTGAGGACCTAAACAGCATAAAAAAGATCTAGAAGGAAGGATATACTAGTTGAAATAAAGCACTTTTTTTTCCCCAGGGAAACAACAGTAAAGTGGATGAAGCTGAGAATCAAATCAATGATTTGAAACACAGAAAGCAAAAAGCAACCAATTAGAACAAGAAGAAAAAAAAAGAATCATCCAAACATAAGGATATTATAAGCAGCCTCTGGGACAACTTCAAGAGGCTCAACATTCTTATCATGGGGGTGCCAGAAGAAGAGGAAGAGCAAGAAACTGGAAATCTATTTGAAAAAATAATGAAAGAAAATTTCCTTAATTTGGTGAAGAAAATAGGCATACAAGTCCAGGAAGCACAGAGAGTCCCAAACAAGGTGGATGAGAAGAGACCCACGCTGAGGCGCATCATAATTAAAATGCCACAGGTTAAAGATAAAGAGAGAATCTTAAAAGCGACAAGAAAAAAGAAATTAGTTACCTACAGGGGAAATCTCGTAAGACTGTCAGCTGATTTCTCAAAAGAACCTTTGCAAGTGAGAAGGGGTCGAAAAGAAATATTCAAAGTCATGAAAGTCAGGGAACTACAGCCAAGATTGCTCTATCCTGCAAAGCTATCATTTAGAATCAAAGGGCAGATAAAGAGCTTCCCAGACAAGAAAAAAACCAAAGGAGTTCATCATCGCCAAACCATTATTATAGGAAATGTTAAGGTGACTTATTTAAGAAAAAGAGGATCAAAACCATGAAAAATGTAGTGGCAATAAATATTTATCTATCCACAAATTGAATCTAAAAAACAAACTAGGTAAACAACAGAAACAGAGACAGGACCACGGATACAGTGAACATTTTGATGGTTGCCAGATGGGAGAAGTGTGGAGGAATAGGTGAAGAGGTGAGGGGATTAAGAAGTACAAATAGTTAATTACAGAATAGCCTTGACAGTATAAAGTACAATGAAGGAAATGAAGTAGCCAAAGAACTGATACACTTGACCCACGGACCTGGACAACACTGTGGCGATTGCCTAAGGGAGTAGGGGTGTGGGGTGAATGGGGGCGAAGGGGGAAAAACTGGGACAACTGTCATAGCATAATCCATAAAACATATTTTTTAAAAAGAAACACATTATTTAAAATTCCCCTGATCTTTTTTCATGTTCGCTCAGAAAATGTTTCCTATTTAGCTTCTAAAACAAAACTAATTTTAAACAGTCTTGTGACCCTATTATTATCCTCATATCTTTACATGATAATACCATTGGATGAGTGATATATATATACATATATATATATATGTATATATATACGTACTGGTAATACATTATAACAATTACTGATATGTAAATTAAACATTTGCTGTATGCTTTAATCATATTTTAAGTTCTATTTCAGTTGCCCTCCCTTTGGAAATCCCTCCCCAGGGTGACTCACTGAAGACAATCTGTCCCAATAACACTGAAAGCACTTTATCTGTAACCTTTATAGGACTTTATCCTAGAGAATGGATATCTATATTTTATCACACTATAAGCTACTTGGGTACAAAACACCTACCTTTTAACTCTTTGTATTACTCACATTTCTTACTTTAGCTATCAATGCATGTTTGTGGAATAAATGGATGACTAAATGCATGTCTATAAATTTATGCACACACTTCACTGATCCTACTAGACTCTCATCCACTTGAAGACCCACAGTTAACCCAGTTGCTGGCACATAACAAATATTCAACAAATAACAATGAATTAAAAATACAAGTCTAAATGTTAAGCCATGTAGCTTCTTGAAAAGGGTACCTTGCTTTTGGGTGGTGGGCTGTTTGTGCTCTTGTCTGTGTGAATGCTGGTAGGAGATACAGCAGCACCAAGGTTGCCTTGGGATATGCCCGGGAGCTTCCCTCCTGGAGACACCTGCATTGCAGCTAGCTGGGCAGCATATAACTGCTATAGAAGAAAAAGAGAGACAGGAAACATAAAAAAGACCATCAGCAATAAAATGAATGCACCCCTCAGAAAGTACCTTATCCAATGTGGTATTTTTCCTATGGGTATTTTTGCTCAGCGCCTTGGAATATTTTATGAAAAAAAGCTGTCAGCTAAACTTCCATGACTTACTTCAGCACTGGTATGTCCAGAGAGTCCAAGCAAATAACACTCATCCATATTTACTTATTCCCAAAGTCTCTGGGAGGCAGGTATATCATCCTTTGGTCCAGACCTCTTTTTGCTGTATTTTAAATTTTACTCATCATGTTAAAAAGAATGCAGTTTCATATACAAAGTAACTTTTATATTCATGCTTCAAGTTTGGTAACTTCTTTTTTTGACTTGCTGAAATGAGTATCTGTAACAATTTTTTGTGTGTGCGATTGTTAGTTGGGTAGACGTTAACAAAGCTATTAAGAGGGACTGGAAGGAGAGTATTGAAGAACATTATCTGGCCAGTCTACCTATGCTGTTAAAAACTGCAATATTTATCAGAAGTCCACTTTATCTCACAATATGTAAACACAGACAAACCTGAAATTATCTTGAGGATTCAGGTTTTAAGAAATACTGTTTAAACCTGTGATTTTTAATCGCTTTCATTCTACAAAGGGAGATTAATGTAAAGAAAGGTGCAGGAGCAGGAGTGAGCTAGATGTCACAAAGGGAGCAGGGCACACTGTGGAGGCAGTGAGCGATTTAGAAGAGGTGGGAGAAAGGAAGGTGCCCTGAGTGCATGGCCTGGGAAGAATAAAACAGGACCAAATTTGTAGGCTTAGTTCACCTTATAGAAAAGCTTGAAACACAGTTAAATGATTTTAGATTTAATATGCAGACAAGAGGAAGCCCCTGAATGTTTGAGAGCAATAGGCAGGTTGTTTTTAACTAAAGATAAAGCAAGATTATCAGTTATGAGGTTATCAAAATAACCGGTGATCATTTTAGTGATGACTTGCATTTTAAAAGTTACAGTTGTGACAGTGAAGAGGGAAAAATAATTCCAAGTTATATTAACTGCAGAAAAGAAAAAAGAAGGAGAACAGGGCGAATTGTGTAATTTATATAAAGTCTTCATTTCATAGATTTAATGCATTAAAGCATTCTCCTATCATACATTCACATTCACGTATATAGTCATTGGATTATCTTCATGAGGTAGCCAAAACAAATATGCGTATATGTGGATGTATTTTTCCTTTTTGAAAAAGGAAGAAGTCAGAGAAATTTTCTTATAATTTTACATTGTGATAGTAAAAATGCTAGAACCATTCCATCATGGGCTTCCACTAAAATATAGCTAATGAAGTACTTCTTTAAGCATCACAAGCATGATGTACTGTGTCTGTAGCCTGTAACATGAGCCGGGACTGTATTCGGCTTTGCCAGACCTACTCAGGGCTTTCTCCGTGGCACGCACATGCGCACTGAAGCACAGCTAGGCTGACAGTGGACCGACAGCTCCTCAGCAGGCATTCTGGGTGCTGAAACTGTCTGATGGGACGGTAAAGAGCAGCTATTTTAACTCGAACTAGTTAGTACAAATAATAGTACTAACTAATTTGTATAAGTTAATCAATTGCTAATTTGGGAAAATCAGAACAATTGTATTGGGATAACACGACTTTTAACCAGTAAGATACAACTGTGTCTTCTTACAAAGGTAACATTTTACTCAGATATTCTAAGCTAGTGTTTAGTACTTTTCAGTGCTAGGGGTGGAGAAATTTCATAAAACATCCTATTTAAACTCGAAGATAGATTGTTTTGTTGATACCTTGAGATAGTAAATTTCTGCCACTTCTCCCTAATAAGTTATTTCCCCCAAATTGCTAAAAACACAAGTTCTCCTACTGGCTACTAGCCTAGTGCTTAATTGCCATCTGGAGCATGTGGCATCAAAGCATTAGAAGTGACAAAAATATCTATCACTATTTATTCCCTCAAACCATTCATTTATGACTAGTGAACTCCTTGAAGGCAGGGATTATGTTTATTATTTAATGTCTTCTCAGAACATCTTGGAAACAAGAAAAGAAGAAATGAATAAAGGCAGAAATGAACTGCATAAAATTATTTATTTATTTATTTAAAGATTTTATTTATTTATCTTTAGAGGGGAAGGGAAGGAGAGAGGGAGAGAAACATCAATGTATGGTTGCCTTTCGTGCATCCCCTGCAGGGAACTGGCCTGCAACCCAGACATGTGCCCTGACTGGGAATCGACCCGCGATCGTGTGCTTTGCAGGCCCGCGCTCAATCCACTGAGCTACACCAGCCAGGGCTGTAATTTATTTTTTAACAAAACTATATTTCTAGGACATAGTTAATATTTAGTAATAATAGTATCTATATAAATTTTAAAATTTGGAAAGAATTTGACATTGTTTTACTATTCGAGGAATTAGAAAAAAGGCTTACTGGTGATGTTGATAAAACTCATCATTCATTCATTCATTTCATTTACTTAAAAAGGACAAAGAAAATTAATTTCAAAATCATATCAGCATAAAAACAAAAGATAGTTTAATATACTCATTATAGCCATAATCTTAAGTGAATAAATCAATTTGGAACTATAACAGGAAAAAGTGGTAAGATTATTAGAAAAATATATTTTGAAAAAACGATAAAACCAAGACTTTAAGCATATAGATATTCTTAAATATTTTGCAGAAGACAAATGAGAAGTGCCTTATTTCTGATAAATGGATATACATTATTACTGAATCTTAAATATTTATTACTTAGAGAGTAAAGTTATTTAGTAGATGTAAACTACTTTGGGGATCCTTTTTTATTGCTTAGGTCAAAGCTTACTTTTCCATTTGAACTAGAATCTACTATCAGGTGTTCCTTTCATGTGAAAAAAAATGGAATAAAGGCCCAGGTGACAGGACTGTCACTGCATTCTGACAATTACTCAGGACTCAGTAGCTATGACAGTCTACGGTTTGATCCAGTGGCCCCATCTCTCCCTGATGCTGACAGGCAGGGCCATTCGTATTTTAATGAGCGAACAGTGCACAGTAAGTCAGGCCCGCCACTCCCCCTTTGTCCTCACACCCCACGCGTCTCTTCCCCACGTCTCCAACCTCACACTAGATAGGAGAGCTGGGTACAAAAAGCAATGAAAGAAAACAAAAAAAAAAGGACACTAAAGATATGAGTGAAAATGTTGTCTTTCCTAAATGCTATATGATAAAGCATACTGATTCTTTAGGAAAATTTGTGAACTTGTACATTGCCATTGTCAGAATGGAGAGTGCTTGACAGAATGGAAAACCATTTAATATTGTTTTTGCTGAGCTTATTAAAATAATTTTAAAAGTAGAATCACTTTCTCCAACTGATATCTCATATCCAACACCAATACCTAACACAGAGAGAAAAGAGGTATATTGTAATGCTAAATAAATTTTAGATATTTTTATCTTCACCTGAAGACATTTTTTTCATTGTTTTTTAGAGAAAGAAATGGACATAGAGATAGAGATAGAGATGGATGGGCGGTGGGGGCGGGGAGGAGAGACATTGATGTGAGGGAGAAATATTGATTGATTGCCTTCTTGAACATGCCCAGACTGGGGATTGAACCTGCAACCTGGGTATGTGTCCTGACTGGGAATTGTGGGACATTTTGTTCTGTGAGACAACACTCCAACCAACTGAGCCACACCAGCCAGGGCAAATTTTTCACATTTTTAATTTTTAATCCATGAAACCAATGAGGCTCTTTTAATTTAATAACTTAACTAGGTATAGGCCTGGAAGTTCAGGTCCTTTATCACCTTTGGTGATCAAGAAAGCCCTTACTTGGAAATTAGTGTGGCTTCTAATCTCTTGAGCGAGCAAACACATGGAGACCTAAATTTTCAAAAATAACACTAGAGTTAAATAGAGCTAAAATCTCCCTCATTAATATCACCATGAAGTGCAAACACATTCATAGAAATGGCTGGTGATTTTGTTTTTTAAGTGTAAGGACTAAATCTGGCAATAAAAGTAATATATATTTACCATGTTAACCACTTAGATTAAAAAATTTTAATTGTGTGCATTGACCTTTATTATGATTTTTAAGATAGGTACACATGCACTTCTAATTTTATGATATAGGTTAGATGTGATGTGTAAGAAAAGCATTTGTTTGTTTTTTTAAGGGAAAGAACAAAAAATAACATTTGTAAGGAAAAACTTCAGAAAACAATTTCAAGGCTCTGTAAGTGTTATCTTTATAGCTTAATTTCAACTACTTAATGTAACTTAAATGCGGAGTTTAAAGAGAAACTAATGTACTGGAGAAAATCTTTCAAAACATATCAGTATGTTTCAATGTGAATAAATTTGCTTTGCCCATTAGTTTTCACAATATTTCTTCAAAGGAAATTATCAGAGTAACTCCCTAACACTATTCTTCTAATGTTATTCAAGTATATTGTAAAAAAAAAAAAGACAGGCCTTACATTTACTGGATCCCAGGGCAAAGGTGCACACAGAAACTCATATGCCAAATTTATAAAGAATTATATTTTACAAATCAAGTATATTTCATTCTCCTGTCTTGACAAACATACCTTCAAAATACCTGCATGCAAAGAAAACCACAAGATGCCATTTCACAATAGGATGGCTATTATTAAAAAACAAACAAAAATTAAAAGAAAAACCCACCAGACAATAACAAAAGCTGACAAAGATATGGAGAAATTGCAACCCTTGTATATTGCCAGTGGGAATGTAAAATGTCACAGCTGCTATGGAAAACAGTACGGCAATTCATCAAAAAATTAAACAGAATTATCATATGATCCAGCAACCCCTCTTCTGGGTATATACCCAAAATAATGGAAAGCAGGGACAGGAACAGATATCTGTACACCCACACCCAGAACAGCATTAGTCACAACAGCCAAAAAGTGAAAGAAACCTCCGTGTCCATTGACAGAATGCTAGCACTT